CACCTACTGTGTTTTGCTTCCTTCTTATGTTGCTGCAGTCAGTGTCAGTGCATTGTGACACAGCAAATGAGTGTGGTTAATGAAACACCCGTAGACCTTAGATAGATGATGGACACAGACACCGTGACATGACCCACTGGTTTTTGACCTCCTGGATTGTAAGATTTTGGCTGTTGGTATGATGTTTTTGTTAGTTTGTTTTTAGCCTGAAGTAACCATGTTTGGTTGTGTGGGTGGATGGTTGATGGGTGGATCCTGAGTTATGCATCCATCGACAGTTTGTTAGTGCAGTTTCGCACACATCCTGACATATCATTGATCAGTGATAACATTTTAAAAAAAGCTACTAAAGGTAAAGTCAGCAGGTCTAAATTGGTGATTTGAATTGTCTGAGTAGGTAATAAGGGCAATCCACAAATAGTGTTAATAGGTGTGGTTAGTTTTATGGGTCATTTACAAAAGTTGTGCTGTTTTCTAAACGCAGTTTAGAGTTCAAGTTCATTTCAACATCAAGCGTAAAAAATAAGACGTGCTTTTTTCCCGGCGTTAAATATTGATGTAATTAACAGTAGATTGCGTGTTGGAAGCAGTGATGCATCAACTCCCAGAAATACATATGCAACAGGTTCAGTTACTCTGAGTTCCCTCCTCTTACGTATAATCTTACTGCTGCGCTCTCTTCGTAAACACCTAAAGTGCTCTTTTTTACGCCAAAACCCAGTTTGGTCTGCGTTAGCAATCTGGCCATATGTTGACACCACGGTTATTATAGATAACTTAAACGAAAAACTAAATGTGAAAAAAACATGTTAAAAAGTAAAAATAAAAGCTAGACTTTTGAAGAAAATAAAAACTAATTGAAATTAGGAAATATCCTTAATTTTAGTATTTGTTAGTTAAAATATTTTCATCAAAAATTGCTTCATGAGAGTTTGATAGATGTATTTATTTAGACCAGTAAGACCTGTACTGGTTTTCACAACTGGAATCACAACAACAGTTGCCTCAAGGTAAAGACCCTACAATAATGCAAAGAAAACAGAGAAAACCCCAACAATTATATGACTCCCTATAAACAAGCACTTTGGCAACAGTGGGAAGGAAAAACTCCCTTTTAACAGGAAGAAACCTCCAGCAGAACCAGGCTCAGGGAGGGGTGAAAAAGACATGAAACTAATAAAAAATAAACTAAAACTAAACATTTTCAAACACTAAAAACTCAAATTAAACAAGAAACAAGAAATCCACTCTGGGAATTAACAGAAATTAAACCAATTTTTTAAAGTCAAAATGAAGACTAATTACAAATTACAAGACTGTAATAACTCTATTATTATTATTATTATTATTATTATTATTATTATTATTACAATGTGGCTAGATTCCTAATAATTTCATCTTTCATGACATGACTTTGGCAGGTTTTTAACATGGGAGTCTATTGGGACTGACCCTGCTGGAGCTAGCCTCAAGTGGCCATTTGAGGAACTGCACTCACAGGCACCTCTATGTTGTTTTTGTAGCCGGGGGGGGGGTTCCTGCTTGGTTCTGCTTTACCAGTAAGGCCTTCGCTACTACACTAAACTAACTCATAGTAAAAAAAAAAAAAATGTTGGATGTCTGCATATCACAAAAATACTCTAAGCCTTGCCAATGGCTGCAGAAATTCATGAATTCATCAGATACCCACCTTAAATATAAAATGTTGTCCACATGCTAGAAAGGAAGCTCCACCTTAAATCAGAGAACTTCAAAAGGGCTTCAGAGGAAATAAATGCCTTGTCATAATAAAAAACCAAACAAACTTGTGAGCAAAGATTTTATTTAGAATCAGATCTGTGTTTGAGACCTGGTTTTTTTTTACCAATGTTTCAAATACCAAGATCTGATGTGGACTTTGATGGTGTCTTAACATATTTGAAGCTTAATTCGGAGCCATCCCATAGAGCTAAAACAGCTCTATGAGTCCATCCGGTCAACATATGTTGCGTCACTTTGCATCAATAGTGACAAGTAGCTTTGCTGATATCAAAGCAGTTCTTCTGTTTGCCATGCTCTGCCTACATTATCAGGGCAGGATGTTGGCGTTGTTTCTCATTATCTGCTGTATTCTTTTTTCAGTTGTGGCTTTGGACCCATCCGGTCTTTAGTGGCCTGTTACTAAGGCTGGTCCACAAACCAACAACAGGCATCGCTGGAAAAACTACGAGCCCCAGCACCTCGCTGACGTAGAAGAGTCCACGAGTCAATCAGCAGCAGAGCTATTTATTAACTGCGGAGTGGTGGAAGTGTTTACTGCAGCACATGTTTCAGTTACACATAGTTGTGGAGTGGCAACCCGACCCCCCTTTTTTGCCCCAGTTAGCCCCCCCCCCCAACAGCCCCACGAGAGCTTTCCATGAGGTCAAAGAAACGAGTGGGGCTCTTTAAATGACTGGAGAGCCACCGAGCCACGTCCCCGTGATGAAACAGACGGCTAGGGTTTCACAAGTGCCGTCACTCCCGCAGATATTCTGGTGAGGAGAGAAAGCTCAGCCAAAATGAGATCCCAGTGGGTGAGGAGGGAATATTGCTTTGGATGTGGGGGCATGCATGCCATGATGTTGCATAATGGAGATAAATGTGGATTAAGAGCTGATTTCTAAAACTGTTTCTCTAACAGCCAGTCGCACAAAGTCCCACAAAGTGCAGGGAAGGAGTCGTACTGTGAGGAAAATTGTGCATGATGTAGTTTGCACCTTGACACAGATAAACTAATGGGTGCGGAACACGCACACAGAAGTAGTGGAGTTTGCACCTTCTGCATTTAATTTAGGAAATGGGCTGCTAACTATATGCAAACTAAGTGAGAACATATTAATTGGCCTATTTTTATTCTAAATATTTCTCTCTGGTGAAATTGAGGCTTTTTACTCCCACTGGTGTTAGTCAGCTCAGACCGACATATCTAAACAGTTGTCAAATGGATTTCTATCAAATGCTCATGTTTCTCACAGGATGAAACCTGTTGACTCTGTTGATCCTCTCACATTTCCCGCAGTACTGCCATGCGATTACTATATCAGAGTTTTTCCTGGCTTAGAGCAGGCCTTTAGACAGGCGGCTGTGTATGTATGTTAGTACAAACAGTTCATGTACAGTAAAGGTAGCAAGTTTGTGTTACCTTGTCTGACAGGAAACTATGCTTTAGAACAGCCTAAAACCTCCTTTGTAGTTTTGAGTGAAATGTCATGACTATTGCCATGAAATCTGGGTGGTAAATGTTCAGACAATGGTTTGGTGAAATCTCTATTTTTTTTTTTTTTTTTAAAGGTTTCCACTCTGAGGAGAGTCTGCAGGATGGCAATATTACATTTTTTCATCTTTGCAGTCAGAAAAAGCAAAAAGCAAATATCAAACAAAGTTATCTGTTACTAGAGTTGCTACTGGCATCAGTTACCATATCTAACTGTGAATTTAAAATGCTTTGTCTCCCAAATTTTGAAACCAGTTGCCTTATTTATGTTAATACAGTATATTTGTGAACAAACTTTTAAAAATGGTGGAATGTAGCTTGGTTGAGCTGCAGTTTTGCTCTTGCACACAGGACTAAAGGGTAGAATCAGTCTGATATAACAATGTCTTGAATGCAAAAAGCATTCTGCAAAAGCCCCCTTTTCTACACACCAACATATTAGATGTGTTACTCGTCGTCACGGTGAGAAATCTTTCAGCAAAGCACACTCCAGGATTACCTGAGAGATGGGTAAAGCGTTCCTGGAAAGATAATGCTTCAGACACTCGAGTTAAAATGAAAAGATAAAAGAGTGACCTTTAAATAAAGGTGCACCATAACACATCCAAACTGAGAATGGCCTTAGCCTGACACCACCAGTATCACACCAAACAGGGCCTGCTGATATGATTCTGTAAAGTAGCTTCCCACCTCCAGGGATGGACAGACCGTTAGAGAGCCTCATGTGACTGTTGTCGTCACAGAAACCTCGGGCCTGCTGCCAGCTACTGGAAGGTCCAGACCTTCCAAAGATAGCAACAACCCAGCCTGCGAGTGCTGAGGATAGGGAAGCCGAATAAGTCTACACCGACCACGGAGCGGCCTGTGGAAAACTCTATGAACATTCTCAGTTCAGCGTGTCAAATGACTGGGTATAGCACTTGATTTTTATATAGTGCTCCTATGCAAGTCCTATGCAAACACATAATTATATGTGTTTGTGCCCCGCAGACCTGCATTCTGTCAGGGAGGGGGAAATGGAAAAACAATTATTTGCCTTTGCAATAACTTCAAAAACCCACGAGAGGCCTAAACAAGATCTCAAGGATTTCTCATGCTTTATATGTTGGTCATGAAAGTGCACAAGGTGGTCACTATATGTTCTTGCATGTACCAGCACACCTGCTCTGCTGCTTCTGCAGCGCCATCTGAAATTCCACAAGCAGGCAGCCTTTAACTTAACATCCTACGCTAACCAGATGATGAATGGCTCTTTCAGGGTGAAAATGGCAGCAGTTTAATGTAAAATGCTCGTGAGGATTAGACTGCACATAAATCTTGATTTCCATGTGCAGTGTCTTACAGCAGCGCGCTGATCACTCCTTTGCAAGTGACGCCAAGAGGAACAGATTCAGCAGATAAAGTGGGTGGAAACTGCAGATTAACGCTGTTTATGCTCATTTAGTCAGTAATAGATGACGAGGGCACAGTTTGAGTTGCACGTTTTCTTTTAAGATCTGTTACCTTAACATTTCATAGCGTGTTGTGCTGTGCTGTGTCATTCCAACTCAAGTTATTCCACTGTTTATATTCAACAGGATGCTCGCCCTGGCTCACGTTGTGCAGGATTAGCTTTTGCATTGGATGTTTCATTCCAATCACTCGGAGCTCGGCAGTTTGGCGTGGCTTGTTTTACTCTCTCGGATCTTTCGAGGTTCTCTGCCAGCTTCTCTAATTGGCCTCTTTTGCCTCTGGAAACCCCCAGTGAGAGAGAGGATCTCCGCTGGACCCGTGCGGTGGTCGGACGCGCAGATGCGTCAGAGCGAAGGAAGGGCGGCGCGTCGGTGCTGAGGTGATCCCCAGCTTTAAAAGCGCACAAGTTCTCTGTGCGCCGAAGCAGTGCGTCACGGAGACCCAACAGAGGCAGGATCCCCCAACAAAGAGTCAGATATCTCAGCACAGCGACGAAGATAGCCTTTCTTAGCGCAAACGTCTGCATCCTAGTCATGACCTTATTCCACGTGTTTTAACATTTCGTCGCTTATTTTTCTTCCCCCCCACTTTGAATGCATTTCCCCCCTCCTGTATCTGAAAGAATAGAGAACCATCGTTTTTCCCTTCCACCGAAATAATTTGTGATTTCTGATCGTGGTGAAACAGCGAGAGAGGATCCTGAGCAACAGCTGGGGGAATTTATCCGCTCCACTATATGGATAAGGAATCGTATCCGCCTGCAGCTGTACTCAGAGTTTGATCTCAGAAGTTGCTCTGCTCAAAGGGGAAAATGAAATCTGCTGAAGAGGGTGAGTTTGACTTTTTGTCTAGGCTTCCCCATCAGAGTGTTTAGTTTATATTTTATTTATTTATTTTTAATCACAGCGAGGTGCGGCTATAAACGGGCCTTTTTTTTTAGCTTCGTGTCAGTGCCTGACACTTTACACCCGCATGCAACACATTAAACTGGGATGTGTTGTTGAACCGTGGGTCTTATCTACACTATCTCAGTATATTGTAGTTAATTACAGTATTAAAGCAGCGGTGCAGCTATTTAGTGAGTGCCCCTCCCTGCTGATTTGGACGAGGTGGGCGTGGTTCTGTTGCTGTGAATCTCTCATGACTAAAAAGTGCGCCCAATAATGTTAGTCGCTGAGGACTGACAGGGCATTGTGGGTAACAGTGTGCCAGTGCTTCAGAGGACAGTATTGAGCAGAGTCGTTTGATGGTGCAGCTAGCCCCCCTCCCCTCAAGGCAAACTGTCAGGATGTCAGCTAATTTTAGAAAACACACACTTCAGTGCTACTGTATCACTCACCACAAGCAGGATTTTAAATGTAGGCATAATTTTCTTTTATTACAAGGAGTCATATGGTGCTGCATTGATGTCATAGTCTTTATGGCTGGGCCCCTAATTCTCTCTAATTTACAGCAGACAGGAGCTGCGGTGACTGCATATGTCTGTCTGCAGCCGCCGTCTCCATGCGTATCAATGTGCCCTGCTGTGGTCACACTCAGCCGGCTTCATGCACCATATAACCACAACTGCCTTTCCCATGTCAACCCCCCCGCCCTCTGCACCTAATTGTGACCTCAGCCATCACCACAGATGGGCAGAGTTTCATGTGTCCCAGCGGGAGCACTGGCACAACACCACAAGCTTCTCCTGGCTTGGTACAGCGTGCACCTTTACGGCATGCAAATAAACGAGTCATGTCCCTCCTGTGTTTATTTTCGATGGCTGCTACAACATGAAACGGGCCAACAAAAGCATCAGTGTGTTTTCATAATGTTACAGTTTATGGGCACCGTGTGCATTAAGTGGTATAAATCTGGCAAATGTGGAGTGGAAAAAAATTACCTGGTTTTGCTTTTGGTTATTTTTAGACTGGAGTTATTTTTGGCTCCTTTATTCGGATTTCCCACCCAATTTGCTTTGTACAATTTGGGCCATTCAGAAAGAGTTTGTATCACTAGCCTCACTGGCGTGTTTTGAGATCCTTTTCAGATGAGGCGATACCTTTTCAACTTGCAAACCTTCTGCCTCAGGAAATGGTCAAGGCCAGATCCAGTAGGCAAGCTGTTCTTATGCCATTACAGCCAACGCCTCTGCAACAGCTCTCATAAGACTTAACTTTGGCATCGGTCCCCCTCACAGTGAGTGCAGCCAGTGAATGTGTGTTTGATTATCATGGTAACAAACTCAATCTGTTTGCTTTCCAGATGCATATGGCTACACGCCAAACGTCAGTCTCTCTCTCCCATTGGGCAACCCTTGTCTTCCCTCCCAGTACCACAGCCTGCAGTCCAGCCCTGCCATATCTGTCTCTGTCAGCGAGCCTCACAGTTATGACTCCCAGGATGACATGAGAGCGGCCGGATACTTTTCATCCACAAGCATCCGCCCAAACGGAGCCCCGACCTTGGAGAGCCCTCGTATCGAGATCACAGCTTACGGTCAGTTTCCTGAGGATGAGGTGGAGGAAAGCAACCTTCCTGTTGCTAAGAGAGTCAACTCCATAGTGACACTGACCATCCCTAGTGCAGATGGCTACCGTGACCCCAGCTGCCTGAGTCCGGCCAGCAGCGTCTCATCACGTAGCAACCTGTCCGATGCATCCTCCTATGAGTCAAGCTTCTCCTACAATTACGACAACTCACCCCAGAACTCCCCCTGGCAGTCTCCCTCTGTGTCCCCCAAGGGCTCCACCCTCACCCTCCCCAGCGACGGCTGCGCCTCCGGTGGCTCTCCTCGTCACTCCCCCTCCACGTCCCCTCGCACGAGTATAACGGACGACACCTGGATGGGACAGCGTGGCTCCAGGCCCAATTCCCCCTGTGGTGCAAAGAGGAAGTACAGCTTAAATGGCAGCGGAGCGCCACAAAAGCACTTCCCTTATTCACCCAACCACTCCCCAGGTCTGTCCCCACAGACATCTCCTCGCCTCAGTGTCACAGAGGAGACCTGGCTGCCAAACACCAACCAGTACACCAACTCAGCCATCCTGGCAGCCATCAATGCCTTGACCACAGATGGAATGGCTGACCTCGGAGAGGGAATCCCCATGAAGGCCCGAAAAACCAGCCTGGAGCCCAGCACCACCATCAACCTGAAGGTGGAGCCTAGAGGTGAGGAGCTGAGCCCTAGGGAGCTGTGTCAGGATGAGCACCCAGCAAATCGCATGTCCCTGAAGAAGGAGGGCTACTGCGGTGGGTTTCTGGATGTACCACAACACCCATATTCCTGGTCAAAGCCAAAGCAGTATGTCAGGTAAGGATGGTGGTTTACTCAAGCATGAAAAAATGCATTTAAATGTAAAATTCTTTTAGTATTTCTGGCATTTGATCAGATGTGTTGTTCAAAGACCGTTATTCTTTCACTATGCCTGGAACCGGAGTGAATTTTGAGTAAGGATTAGTGTGTTTAAGTATCTTTAAGCTACTGGCTTTATCACATGCTCTGGCGTATCGCAGTATCCACATTCTGCACATTCTACCTTGATAAGCCCATCTAAAATAAGCCCTCCTCTTGTTACGGTGACATGTTGAACATGTATTTTTGTTTTGCCACTACAGCCCGTCTTTGCCAGCTCTCGACTGGCAGCTGCCATCCAGCTCCGGGCCGTACAGCCTGCAGATCGAAGTGCAGCCCAAGTCCCACCACCGAGCCCATTACGAGACAGAGGGCAGCAGGGGAGCAGTGAAGGCTCTGGCGGGAGGACACCCAGTCATTCAGGTCTGCTAGAACCAGTGCTTCTTATTTGCATTTTGACTTACAGTGACTTTATGTGAAGAATAATGTTTTTCCTTTGTATCATATGAGCATTTTAATATGCAACGCAATCTAGAATTTCAAAAGAAAGTGACTTGAAAAACAAAGAGATTCACATTTATCATCCACTGACTGGGAACGAAGCTTCGGTTTCCTGCGGTAATCGGAGCAACACATGGTTCGGCCATTAGGCTCATTTTTACTCCGGCTCCTTACCTCGTCGCTTCTCACCTCAACACCTCCCTCCTCTTGTCTTTTACCTCATGTGTTAAAAAAGATTAGAGCGACATGTGTTTCATGACCTGCCTCTTATGTTATTTAAAGATGTCACATTTCTGAATGGAATACCATAGGTATGCTATTAGACAGACCAGTCCACTCAGGGAGTCAGTTCCTGTCCAGACGAGGGTGACTCAGATTTTTCCATTGCGTTTTCAAGTGCAACGCAGACAGTTACGAACTAATGTAGCATGGCCAGTAAGAGCTTAGTCATGAGCTTTAACCACAGTAGCTGTGGTGGTCGAGTCCAAGAAGAAAAAATGTGGACATCTGCAGATGTTTTGGTTATAAACCCATCTGGTCCCCCCAACCATTACGCCACACCGCTGACCTCAGTGTTTGAATAAATAAAGGGTCTGCAGAGAGGCGTTAGACAAAGCGAGTGTAAGGAGTTCTCTTGGTTTTATTAACACCTTCTGGCTTTTTCTTAACACGTTACAAAAAGTCAACAAATTTACTAGACACTCTTGTGTTTTTCCTTCGCTTTTGATGAAATATTTTTTTAGACTAAGCAGTTTTGCATGTTTCTTCGGGCATCAGGGAATTCTTACATTGCTAAAGAGTGATTTTAATGTAGCCAGTTTGTGAACTGCTGTTTTGAAGCCCTGACGTTGGTATATGGGGCATTGCTTTCTTGGTTTTTGTTTGTTTTGTTGTGATGAAGACATGCCCATGTTTAGATTAGTTGTCGGGGAGTGCTAACTACTACCTTGGTTAGCAAGGTGTATCTGCATTTCACTGGGATAGAATTAGATGCAAACTGTGGCATGAAGGTTTCCTTCCCTCACAAACTGACTCTGACTCCTTTGTCTGTTTTAATCCAACCAAATACTGAACAATATGATACGGCGCCCATTACTCAAAGCAGCCTTTACTAACACGCAACATGAATACAATTTGAACTGGTTATAAAAAAATCCCGTCTCCAAACTTGCCCATTTAATCCAGTGGCTATTAACTCATCAGCCTCAAGTGGCCATTAGAAGAACTGCAGTTTTTCTGCTGCTGAGGTTGCTGTTTGATTTCATGTCCATGCAACATGTTCACTCTCAACACATTTGGACTTAAGTGCATTAAAATAAGTGATAATAAAATAAGCTGGACTGGATATTGATAACTATGTGATATAAAGTTTTATTTTGTATCATGAAAGGGAAAGAACTAGCAGCATGCTAGTCAAAGAGCCCTTAATATATCTATTTAACAAAGAGCTTATACAACTGTGTATTTATCTGAGAGAGAATTTGGCATTTTTGTTGAGTGCACAAATAGTGACAGAAAGTCTGTCAACACAAGTTAAAACTCTCGACCTTTGAGTGCGTCACGGATGAGGAGGAGCTAGCTGTGGCTTGTGATGGTGAGGATGGAGGAGCACCAGGAAACAATATACAAATACTCAATTTTAGGATGTTTTGTTTTTTTCCTGTTGCTAATTTTGTAGTTGAAAAAGTTTGCCTGTGATTGATTTCGTGTAACTAATCGCAAACAGCATTCGTCACAGTTGGTATTAAAAATAGGATGTAGTGACGTCTTTTTTCCTGGAGTGATCTTACTAAAAGGTTAAAAGTAATAGTGTTTGAATGGAAGTCCTCTGTTTGTTGGACAGAAATATTACATTTGTATGCAGCGTTGGAATAGAAAAATCTGGAAAGCAAAACACGTTGTATTAGCCATAGTGTCGCAACTACAGCCGCACATCTGTGCGAGGCTCACCATGAGAAGGTGCTAATGATTTAATGACAGGGGTCTGGGTTCACCTCAACTGAAATAGAGAGTGTGTGTTCTCTTTAAACCTCCCCCCCAACTTTTTCTGCCAGCTACCACCCCAACCACACAGACTTCCCTTTGTTTAGGAAAGTTCCTCTCTGTACGGCTGACATCATCGCGCCCTGCGTCCTGCGGAGGCGGCAGCAAGCTAAACCACACACGTTTCTGGCAGGCTGTGATGGAGATATTGGAGGGAGCCTCAGACAAGGCAGCTCCATCTCTGCGACTTCCTGATTACACGGTGCGCGCAGCCTCTGCCGCGGACGCTGGCTGACGAAGCCTCTGCGGCTCGTCCCGTCGCTTTTCTGACTCAAACCCTGCCCAGACTTTACAGAGTTTATTCTGGAAGGTCCTGTTCAGTGTGGTACACGTTTTCTCCACCTCTAGCATCAGCACAGTTAAGCTGGCTGTTTTCTGTTCTTTTTCAATGCCATCACTGCTGCCTGCCTCAACCACACCCGCCCTTGCACCAGCAGCAGACTGAAGAATGCCCCTCTGAAGTGCTGCGTTCAGTCCTCACCGCAGCTTATGCTCAGGGTTTCAAGCTGTACTTTGGTGGAGAGGAAATGCTCTGTATTCATGTCTGTGAGGTCCTCTTTTTCACCCTGACTGAAGTAAGCTTTTATGATCTGACCAAAAAGTACCCAACATGCTCTTTTGAAGTATGTTTTTGTAGATTTAGATGCTGTTATTTTGGCGTCATGTGCTTTTTCTTGGCCTGTGTAATTAGCAAATGCCATCTGAGACATACTGGGTTATCTCTCTTTGAAAATAAAGATGGAGGATTCCCATTTAAAACCATTTTAGAGTTGCTGGGGCATCACAGGAATGGAATGGAAGCGCTGGTCGCCCTCACCCGGCCGGAGTCTCGGCATTCCTCTTGTGGGTGATAATGTGAACTGGGGAGGCTTGGCTGCTTCGCCAGCGTCAAACTGCCAGAGTGAAAGAGAAGTGGATTTACATGAAGCTGTATCTCAGTGATTTTAATTGCATCAACAAATCATAACTGTTGTCTGCTTGAATTGCTTTGTAAAAACATATGATTCAGATCACGGAGCAGAAAAACTAAAAGGGAAAGGTTCCTTAATTTCATGATTGCTGCTTGTGTCTTAAAATGATGGATGATGATGCTGACATAAATTACGAGCATTTCTAAATGGATGCTTTGTAAAGGTTTGGAAGCAAAGAAACCAAAAACAGCTGAAAGCAGTCAGATGATATTATCAAGTTTGATTATTTCTATTTGTCTAGACTTTGTTGCTGATAATAATTCAAAGCAGATAATCAGTAATCTGTAAGTAATTACAGTTTGAGAGTAACTAACCTCGCGAGCAGACTACCTCACTTCATCACACTCCTTCCTGCTGCCTGAATAAACAGCATTGCTAGGCAGCAACCCATTTCCTTACACAAATATACGGGGCTTTTGTAGGCTCTTAACCCTGACAGGGATCCTCCTCCAAATCACATGTTATGCCTCCCCAGTCTGAGGCTTTCACTCTCATTGTGGGCGCTGCTCGCCTCGAGTGCTCCCCTTATGTAAGTGAAAAATGCGGTCTTCATTTCAACATTTCCACACTGATTGTTTCAGCCGACACTCTTTTCCAAAGTGCCTTATAATTAGTCGGGGTTGAGTGTCGGCCTCTATTACGCTTTGACGGGTTTGTGGATGACGATGTGCGTTTAGTGCTCGTTTTATAACACTTTGCTTGCAGACTCAGACCAGTTTGACTCTTAGAAGCTCTTAATCAGTCAAGATAAAGTGCTGTTCTGCGTGATAGCATGCAATAAAGTCTACTTAGTTAAACTGTATTTTTGAATACATTTGAATACTAATAGCCCATAGAGAGAGGAAAAAAACGTCCCAATACTTGACCCTGAATGGCCGACACTAATTCAAACCTGATTACTGGAGGCATTTCAAGTGAAGCAGAATTGCTTAATGTAATTTAAAAGATGGAAAAACTTTACGACTGTTTAGCCAAACAGGAGCAAGTCCAGCTGGGATGTTTTGGTTAAAGATGGAGGAAATTTAAGAGCCTAAAAAATTACAGATTGGAAAAAAAGAGCACTTTAAAAAAAAAAAAAAGTTCATTTTTATATTAATCCACATGTTGATGTTTGCTGAAACATATTAATCATGGTTTAAAAATAAAAAAAAATGTTGCTTTTCTCTGTTTAGTTTCCTCAGTTTAAATTGACAGTGGTGTAAAATGTCGAGCCTCACTCATATTTACTTAGATGTAAACATAAAACTAATGTTAAATATTCTGCTGTAATTCTTCTGCTGCATTGTATGGATAACATACATAACTCTCTGACAGAGTGTCAATAGTAGCCGCTGTTCTCAAATTTCAGCCTGCGGGTTTGGGCCTCATGCCTGCACTCTGCAGTCTGGGAGGTTGAGGTCATCCTGGCAGGAGGCCTCTTGTCAGGCAACACCTATGAAGGTCTGGGATTACTTTAGATGCTCTGGGACGAGCCCACCAACTGTAGCAAGCAGTTAACTTGACCCTGATTGTCCCTGTTTGGGTCTAAACGGCTCGACCTTGACTTTTCCAAAACACTGCCTCAGTCATGTCACAAGGCGAGCATGGTGCTCACAAATCACAAAGCTGCAGACTGTAGGTGTATTTTACCACTCTTTGGCCCCATGAGATTGAGCCACTGTTAGATCAACATCTTGGCAGACCTGACATGAACTCGTAGAGGAAGTGGGCACAGGATGTTGGTAGTAAATTAAAGATGAAAAGGGTGATGATTACACGGTCCTAAAAGGCTACTTTGTTGGAAAGCCTGACCTCTGAAAGACCTGCGTTTCGTTCTGACAGTTTGTAAGCTTGACCGCACATGTCCGTCGTTTCTTTGTCTCTTAGCTTCACGGCTACATGGAGAGCGAACCCCTGACTTTGCAGCTGTTCATCGGCACAGCTGATGACAGGCTGCTGAGGCCACACGCCTTCTACCAGGTCCACCGGATCACAGGCAAGACGGTGTCCACCCCGAGCCACGAGGCCATGCATAACAACACCAAGGTTCTGGAGATCCCACTGCTACCAGAGAACAACATGCGGGCCATGTGAGTATCGCCAGACTAAAAAAACAGCTCAAGACTTGACTTGGACATCCAGTCTCAAATTGTTTAAGAACTGGCGTGCACTGGAATGAAGCACTGGTTTTAAACTGGGATGAATCTGATTGGCAGTGAAACCTTTTAAAGAGTCATTTGAGACAATGGCAATGCCAGTCTCAAGTCATTAACCAAGAAAGCACATTTTGTACAAGCCCATGTCACGTTCGGTCACTGACAGGAAATCCAAGTGAAATCTGCTGTCCCATGAGAAATTTCCTTCAAGTCCATCAAGAAAAGTCATGCCATGCATTGAGTCAGCTGAAACAAGTCCAAGTCAAATCTTTTAATTGTCCACGAGCAAGCTGCAAGTTAAGAGTGGACAATTTCGTCAATGTTCCCTCAAAGCTCTCGCAATCAAGTCCTTTGACTTGTTTGATTTTGCTTTCAAGTCAACATTCGACTTGAATATTTTAACGTTTAAATCTTAAATGAATGACTTAGATTTCACAGCAAATACACAACGAGTCCAAAAGACTTGAAATAATAATTCTTGCTATGATGGAGTTCAGTGCAGCCAGTAAACACCAGCTGCTGTGGTAGCTGTAAAAATGCATCTTCACTGTTATCATATTAAAGGGATACTAAAATCAAGGGAATTTATTTCAACAGAGGCATCAGTCTGGTCTGGTGAGAGGGGAATTTCACTCCTCTCGAGCTTCTAAAGCCTCATCAAAGCATGTTAGATTGCTGCTTTTTGATTTATCTGTGCATGTCTTTGAGCTTGCATGTCTCCTTTAGGGCTTTAGTTTTGCTCTTGAAGTGTTACTCTCTGCACACAGATGGGTGGCTTTTCCCATTTTATGAGCTTCAGAGATCAGATTACTGGGAAGTCTTCGGGCTGCTAACAGGGGACCCGGGGTCTCTGTCTGTGCTGCAGGTAGTAACATCCTGCTACCATCAGCACTTCCCCTGCTTTTTAATGGATGTAACACATAAGCTCCACTTATACAACGACTTCACCTCGGGGTTTCTTCACAGTACTGACAGAGTACACGAAGGGTTTTGTGGTGGATTTGACATGTGCTCCAGTCCAGTGTGACGTATATATGTTTCATAATGCGGTATAGGATACAGGCGTTATTATATCCCTGAAATAGTTAATCATGATGATTTAGGAGGAAAAGTTTAAAATTAAATTGTTAAGCAACACCAACGCAGATTTGTTTTTTGCGGCTAATGAAGCCACAAGAGTCGAGTTGGTATGAATTCAATTAACTCTTCATAAATTAGTGCCTTAAAAGAAATAAAAGTGTCTTTTTTTTGTCCGCGTCTTCTAAAAAAAATGAAAAAACCCCAAAACTCACTGACGAGATCCCTCAGTATGTGATTTTTTGCAGTCAGTCTGTTTGTCTAGGCAGAGAGCAGAACAGCTGGGGTCCTTAGCATCAACACCTGATTACTTCACCAGTAAAGCAGACCCTGGTGTCTGCCCAGAAGAATGTAAGGGAGTGTCCGAGTGTGTGTAAAAGTTGACATTAAGTAGGCTTTGAGGAATGCAGCATCAAGTAGCAGAGCGATGGAAAAGCCAGAAACCGTTTGGAAAGGCCTGAGGTACTGAAGTATGAAAAAGTTAGAGGAGTTCAGTGAAGAAGGGGCTTATTAAGTGTCCGATGAAGACTTTGACTCCTCAAAATACATCTTATAGCCAATTCCTGGTGGTGAGATTTGTGCAGGGGCAACAATATTTAAGGAGCCGGCTCATGTGAATCAAACAGATTCATGAAAAATTGAATGCTTCCAGGCTTTTTTTCTGTAGAGCTTCAGTTTTACCCCAGAGCAGGTCCACTGAGGCGTAAAAGCTCTGCTGGGAGTGGGGATGTTAATCTTCTGTTGACAGCCTTCTTCGGGGCTACAGTGATGAAGTCCAGAGTGAAAGTCTTTGCTACATAAATCCTGATTAAGTGTGAGATTATATATGTCATAAACGGACCCAGCAGACTCTTTGTCTTGTGTCTTTGCAAACACAGAATCGACTGCGCGGGAATCTTGAAGCTGCGTAACTCGGACATAGAGCTGAGGAAGGGGGAGACCGACATCGGACGCAAGAACACGCGTGTGCGGATGGTGTTCAGGGTTCACATCAACCAAGCCACGGGGAGGACGGTGTCTTTGCAGGTGGCATCAAACCCCATCGAGTGCTGTAAGTACATCCACTCATATTTGTCCTGCTTTGAAAATGCCAAACTTGAACTCATCAGCCTTCTACAGTCGTTTAAAGGGCTCCATTAGCGTGCACACGGGTAGAAGCGTAAGATAGTGTCACTGATCCCAGCAGGGAAACTCATTCTGTGCATTTAACAGACTCTAAGTATTACAAGCAATGAGCATCCACCATGATGCATCATTTCCAGTTGTAATTTTCTAAAAAGTAATTTTGTTAATACCGGTTCATTTGAAGACTTTATTCCAACTGAGCACCGAATTCTAACAAAATAAAGTAAATAAAGAAAATAAACTACAGTCTCCAGAGATTTCCTTCTAACTGTGACTGGCTGCTGGCTCACAGGTATGGTGTAAGAATCTCCTCACATACCTGCAGTGCAACAAGACATCTAAACAAGCTTGTCCTTCAAAATAAAAGCACTACAAGTAGAATTATGATTTAAAAGATGCAAAATCAGTGATTTTTTTAAATTTCTTGAAAAATTATCTGGATTATGTGATAAATATAACGATAACAATTAGACCAGTTATTTTTTTAAGTTCCTTTGATAGGCAAATTCACCTAACAAGTTTGTGATGGCAGGAGAAATCATAGGGAACTCATACAGCCTAGCACCCTTTTACCACAAGGCGCAGTGCTGACCACTGAGCCTTGTGCTGCCTAAATGGCTGTCACACCCCTCTAAAGGGTCAGAAGTATCCACTATATTTAACTTAATCAGTGTGAGACAACTCTTCCGTGTGAATGGGTGCTTTGTACCAGACAAATATCTCAACATTTATTGGATAGACAGACACTCACACAGCTGCTGACGGGGACGCAGACAAGCTTGTTTTTGTGAAATACTGTATCGTGTTCCAGTTTTAGACTTTTAATAATTCCTCAAATCAAATAGAGTGAGATTAGAAAGACAACAAAAGTCCATGTGACTGGTGGTTGTAAGTGGATGCTGCTCGATTCAAAAAGATCACAAGACCGAAGGACTGGGCAGTAGATTAATCAGAAACGATGAGAACTGATTAATCCTTAATTGATTAACCAAACTGACGTAAGCTTCTCAAATCTGAAAATGTCCGTTTTTTCTTTGCAAATCAAATTTTGTTATCTGTTTCTCGACCAGATCAGAGAATATTAATGAGCAACGTTGGACTGAGTCAAAATTATGAAAGAAGAGAAAAACTGTAGATTCCCTGATAAAGATAAAAGGAAAAGATGCAGCCATGTAACGAGAGCCACTGAATGCGGTTCATGTGATAGTGAACTACACTTTAATGTAATAGTATTAACCCTGTAAAAGCTTTTTAAGCCTGGCTCGATAAACCCCATTGACTGCACTGCACTGGAGTTGACCTTTCAATGGACCGGGCTAAATTCAGGCAGATCAGCCACTTCATGTGGTTCTGGCACCAAGGGCTGCCACACAGATTAAGTCTTATGAGGTAAATGAAAGACAGTAGTTAAACCATGAGCTCAACCCCTTGAAATAGACCATTGTTAGTTTTTGAATGACTGCCACAAAGCAATTGTTTTTGACCAAAATTCGCCTGGTGTGTGAGCGAAGCTGAAAATGACACACAGGCGAAGAGCAGCAGAGAGATGTGGGAGAGATTGATCGTTTCCAAAGACAGGGAATTAGAGTTTTATCAAAATCAGAAAACAGCAGCATCAAATTACAAAAAGATGATTCTCATGTGAGGCAAATATTCAGCCTCTGTTTATGTATCCAGGTCAATCAGAATGAAATTACATGGGCTAAACTTGGCTAAGACATCAGCTTTACATCTAGCTGAAGACAGAACAAGGTTTGCGAGTATTTTGTGGCGTGTGATAGAACGTTTTGGAGGGGGGAGAAAAAAATGAAGGCAAACAAGGAATGAGAAAGACAGGCCAAAAGTTAAGAGTGAGGCGTAAGGAGGATCAGGAGAGGAAATATTTGAGAGGAAACATCCTCTATAATTTAAGGGAAACACAAATAAACACAACATGAAGCCTCTCTATGCTTACTGCCAAACAGGGATCTTAATTTTAACATGGAGAAGTTGAGGTTTACAGCTCTGTGAAAGCTGTCTAGGTAGTGATTCAGCCTCGGTCTGGATGCTCAGGTCTGCATGGGGAGTGGGTGTGTATTAGCTGAGCGATGAGGCCCGGTTTGTTTTTTCCCTCCCACAGCTCAGAGATCAGCCCAAGAGCTGCCGCTGGTGGATAAGCAGAGCCTGGAGACGTGTCCCGCCCCCGGAGGGGAGAGGATGCTCCTCGATGGACACAACTTCCAGCACGACTCCAAGGTGGTGTTCGTGGAAAAGGCTCAAGGTAAAGCCGGAGGAGATTTGGGAGTTTGCGCTGTTTCATCTCAGTGCAGCAGTGTGTGTATGTGTGTGCGTGTGTGTGAGTGTGTGTCTCCCTTTCTCTGCTGTTGGAGAAACCCCAGGACTGCTCCTCCCCTCCCAGCTCTTCTCCTCCCCCCGCCGTCAAAATATCCTCCATTCTGCCAGAGTGCCACATGTGGTGCACATTAATGCGCTGTATTTTTAACCCAGCAGATTTACTTTTGCAGAAGTTTCCATTGCCTGTTCAGCAGAGGAATGGATCACAAATGCAGCATGTGTTGCGTATGTGTGTGCGTGCGCATGTAGGTGGGTGGCTGTGCACGTGGTGTGGACACTTTTGTGTGTGTGTGTGTGCCTTGCATCAGTATTTGTTTCTCTTTTTCTTACGTTAAGCCGTTTTGGTTAGGAGGGAGCGGGGACTGCTCCCAGATGTTGATACGACAACGTTTACAAACAGCAATTTCCTTGATTAGCTTTAGCAAAGCAACGTGAGGTACAGTTTGGGCCAAGGCTGAGCAATGTAAACACGTGTGATCCTATCACGACGGTGACTCATTCAAAAAAAGAAAGAAAGAAAGGAAGCCTTTTCATTGTTCCACCTGTGGAAGAAGGAATTCAAGGCTGCACGGGCACACAGGCAGCCCGCCTCCAGCACTGTACGATGGAGTAGTGAGATTGTTTATTAACACTCGGAAGAAGAATCTTTTTCCTCTCTGCGCAAACTCTTTGTTTAACTCTGATCTCATGAGGTGAAAAGGGCAGATCAGAGGCAGAACTAATGTCATGTGATGAATTAGAGCTGACACCAGAACCACTTTTTGGAGCACGACATGAAACTCTGGGTTGAACAGAAATGAAAAATATGCAATATCCACTTTGTAATAAACTGATGTTAGCCTTGGAGTCTCATAGGAATTGTCCTGACACCTATACTTTTCATGTTATACACGCTTCCTCCATATAATGTAGTTAAAAACAACAGTGGATGCGTTTTCATTGTTATGCAGATGATACCGATCTATATTTATTAATGAGATCTGATAACAAAAATTAGTTTGTGCATGTCTTGAAGACATAAAGGTTCGTAATAACCCCAAACAACCTCATAAAAATTGTGTCCTACTGTTGTAAAGAACCTAGGACTCATGTTTCACCAGGATATATGTTTCTATGCAAACATTAAACTAATATTTAGGACAGCTTTACTAAAACAGAAACATCCTCTGCCATCCTGTCATGCTGAAAAAAAAAATCATGCATTTTTCTATCCCTAGACTGAACTATTGTAATTCATTATTATCAGGCTAACATAAAATTTCCCCGAAAAGCCTTCAGTTGATTAAAACCCTGCAGTTAGAGTACTAAGAAGAACTAAAAAATAAAGTTCATGTTTCTCATATTAGCTTCTCTTCACTGGCTCATTGTTAAAACCAGAACTGAATTTACGTGCAGTTGTCACACAGTGTGTTGCTAGCTAAAGGTCCAGCTCCTGTATTTCACAGGGAGAGAAGGGAAAGAGAGCAAACTTCACCCAGAGATGGAGAAAGATAAGAAAGACAGGAAGAAGAGCGCTTGATAAACTTGAAATTTAAAGTTTACATTAAGTCCTCCTGTTTTTAAATCTGATATTGGCTCTGTACATTACGTATTTTTCATTTGTGAAACATGCTGCAAAACAAACCGGGGACTGTAAATTTGACTTGAATTTAATAGAAAGGTCCATTCTGTTTTTTAAATTTAGCATTAAAGTGATGCATAAAGTGAGTATAGCATTACTTACTCACTTAAGGCAGGTTACAAAACAAGGCTTTGCCTGCAGTCCTGGAGTATGAGCTGATAACAGCTGATCTCAGTGCTAGCCCACAGCAGAGCTATCAGTTGACACGTCTTTGAACATTTTGTAGGCACATTTTCTTTAAGCTGATTTACCCTGCTTCTAGTTGCTTCAGCCTCTGCAAGCTGCTTCACAACCCACCTCTTCGTTTCAGTGCTGTGCCTGACTGAATGAGTGTCATCCTTGTTATCGCTGATGTCTGTTTTGTTGTGTACCGAGCTTTCACCCCCCTGCCTTATGCTTTCCATATATTCACATGGAAAAGATGGATGTCCCCAAATACAATAACACCACAATAATGTAGATGGAAATCTTCCTTTGTGTAAAGTGATACTGGCTGAATTTTAATCTAACAAACTTTCTTCCTTTATCTCACATTTCAAATGTATAGCCATAGTGTATTAAATAATTTAAAAAATATATAGCTTGTTGAATATTTAGATAAACCACATAGCAGGTAGATATGAAATGTGGTTGAAAGCTTCAGACACAAGTGTGAAAGTGCTGTCAAACTACTGTCTACTACCAAACCTTTTCATCAATACCAATTATCTCTATAAATGTAACCTTTTTAGCTCTGCCTCCTGGCGTTTCATCCAATCAGTGTGTCCTGCTTGGCAAACCACATATTTTTGATCCTAAATTGAGCAAAGCATTAGTTCGAACAAGCCGTGAAATCTGCCTCAGCTGTAAACTCGCCAGATGAGCTGCTCTCAGAGCCGCTCCACAGTAGCTGATCGTCCAGTTGATATTGAACTGATATTTAAGATACGCTTCAGAGTGGACTATTTTATCTGCTTTAACCTGCCGTCAATTGCTGGACATCTATAAGCAACTTGGCAACCCATCCCCAGCCCAGCTCTTCCTTTCCATGCTGTCTCTGACTCATTAAATGCATGTGTCATCTCTGATGCTTGCTCTGCTTTGAATGGCTGGTTTGCTGCTGTTTCTGCTGCCTCCTGTTTTCCATGTATGAAAGAGCAGGAAGATGCAGTGACCACGCCTTATGCTTTCCACGTATCCTCTCGAAAGGGTGGAGAGGTCCCAGAACAGAACCATGTTGCTGAATATAAATTAATAACAATTTGGCTGAAGCGGATCTGACTGAATTGTGTGTTTCTGTTTGACCCAAACTCTGAGCTCATTGTAAATACATTCATCTGGTTCATTTACAAAGGAAACAAAACAGAAACGTCAAACATGTTTGGGTCTTTAGCTGCTCTGGTTCTCCTTGAGCTTTGAATCTAGCCGTCTTTAGGGCCTCGTGGACTGATGCTTATGGGTGTGCTCCCTTGTTTTTGATGAGGGTTTCCCTGCGTCTGGCACCAGCATCAGATTCCTGGGCAATCCTACCATGGAAACACCCTTGAGCCAGGCTTCCACAACACTGCCCCCCCTCCACTTCCCTCCATCCGTCCACCTCTTTATCCAAGCTGCTTCTTTGCCACCAGCTCTCAGTTCATTAACTCTATGAGCTGCGATCTCCCTGTGGATCAAACTGGTTCTTCTTTACAGCTGCTCTCTGTATAAACACACAGATAAATAGAAACAGTAGACTAGTAGAGACGTCATTACTCTCTGGGGTGAAACGGCATCACTGATATAATAAGATACTAACTAATAAGGCCAAGGACTAAAGGCTCAAATCTGCATATTTAAAAAAAATATACAAGTCATCTCTGTTTTCAAATCTTCATGTAGAACATGTACGCTCTGGAAAAGTTATAGACTTTTATTGTTTTTTTACTCGTGCCAAAGCGGAGCTCTGAGAAACCATTTAACAATCAAACTCATAAATTCGGAGTGGTGGATTTTGTTGCCATAAAGGGCTTAAGCATTTATTTTTACCGATGGACAATTTTCCTGCAAATCTTCCAATAAAGCGCTCTCACAAAATAACTTTCACAAAGCTGCGGTAACAGAACATGCGGACGCTGACAGATGCAAATATTCCTGAGAGTTGTGTTTTTGCATCCGTCCTGTACTTGCAAGTGAATACGTCTGTGTGTGTGTGTGTGTTTTAGTCAGAGTTTCCCCTGCAATTATAGCCGGGATGAGTGACCCTGCCTTGAGATGCCAACTTGCTAAAAAAAAATCAATTTGTTTTGGTTTTTGTTTTAATGTCCGATGGATTTTTTCCCCTCTTGCGGTAAATAATGAAAAACTTCTGGAGTGCGAACGTGACAAGAGAGGGTGACCTTGAGACCTCGTGTTTTTTGTGCATGTGCAGTTTCATGTTTTTGAGTTTGTTTTTGTTGCTGCCCATGACTCACGCTCATGAAGGAAATCCCTGTTTTCCCATAGAGACCTGCACACTCTGTCACCTGCTCTTTAACACACAGTCTGAAAACACAAACTGGCTTTGCTTTATCTTGCCTGCATGTCCCGCCTTTAGCAGAAATGGCCAAGATAACATCGGTTCAGCTGCCACTCGTGACTACAGCCAATCAGTCATAAGAGATTACTGTATGGCTTTGGTGCTGCAGACATCAGCCTGTAATCTAAACCTAACTCGATCTCACCTTGCTTTCATTTGCAAAATTACTGCCCAGGAGATGCTTTCTGTGATAAGTCGCAGCCACTCCATGTGGGAAATTAGGCCCTGCTGTCCTCTAGTCACCTCTTTGTGTTGATTAGTACTGGAAGACTTCATATGTTGTCAGCAGGAGTATAAACTGTACCTTGGTTATTTAAAAAATAGATATGCACCGATAAAAGTAGACACATTATGTTCCGTTTATGCTGTTGTAGTGTGGATGCTTATGTTAAACGTGGGCAAACGTAGACATATTGGAGTCAGCGTATGTACTAATAATCCCTGTGAAACAAGGCTTTGGGTTTCAGGCCGCTCTAAAAGCTTAGGCTCAGACAGATTTTTCTACTCTTGGCTCTGGATGATGTCAAAGAGAGCGGATATCTCTAATGTGGTTTTGTCAGAAGCTCCACGCGCCTGTGCTCAAAACTTTTTATGTTTTATGAAGGGCTGCTAATCAGAAGACTGGATACCCTTAAAAAGAAAGCTATCTTTAAGGGCGATGATCTGAGGCTGTGCGCCGAAGCCCAGCTAAAGATAAACAAGGATTATTATTCTGAGCTGCGACTCAAAGAAAATGGAGCTAGAAGTGAGCATCGCAGGTCCAATATAAGGT